ACTCTAGACAAATCAAAATTCTTATATATTGATATATTCTAAGATCCATGTAAACAAACGGCATATATAACATAAAATTGCATAATTTAAAGTTTTATAAACATTTGGCTTAAGGTCTTCATATCTGTTCTTAGTTACGTATTAATTGGCATTCTTTATATCTTCATAAAGACATAAATATTTTTTTTAAATATAATTAAAAATAATATTAATAATAATAACGAAGTAAATAATTTTAACTCAATATTATTTCTTACAAATTTAAATTTGTCAAATTACTTATAACACAAATTGTATACATCACTATATGGTCTTCTTAAGTTAATTTAAGTTTGATTTTTTTTTTTTATTTTTTTTGTTATATTTCCTTTTGTGCATGTGGTTAATATTGTACTTTTTTTTTTTTTAATTAAAAAAATTGACTAAAATGTAGCAATACCTGGGTACTATCTTATATACAGTCATAAATTATATATTATGTCTAGTCAAGTGTTAACATACATAATACATACATTACTTACTGTCAATATTTCTTGTAACTTTTTTCATACAATATCATTAATACAGCAAAAAATAATTCAAATGAGAAAATATTTTCTAAAACACATTTTTCTAAAATTCAGAAACAGCTGGTATGGATAAAGTTTTTGATTGAAATAACATAAATTTACGAACACCAGATGCGCAAATATTTATGGTAATTTTATACTCTCGAAGTATACGGATCACTTTCATTTTTTGAAAGATAAAAATGTAAAACTCAATTTTTTATATGGTAAACCATTTGAAGGCAAAAAGAGTCTTACAAAGCTATTTATCATACAGGCTTTCAATGATTTTTAACTAAATCAATAGAATATATTTAAAATCGTCAAGCCCTTGTATTTTCTGTACCATGCTTTTGAATAAATTTAGGTATACTGTTTCACGTTGGATAGTCTATAGCAGGGGTGGCTCACATGAATAGGTTCACGAGCCACACGGATAAATATAATAATTTCAAGTACCAAGTACAAGATAAATACAGATAAATTTTAAATAATTTGATAGTATTTTATAAATTTAAACCTTTAAAATTAAAATACAAAATAATAATAATAATATGATAAGTAAATTTTAATTTTATAAATAAAGCGCGAGCCGCATCTAACAATGACAAGAGCCACATGTAGCTCGCGAGCCGTAAATTGGACACCCCTGGTCTATAATAACCAAAATTGAACATATATTTGGTATCGATTCATTTTTTGTCTTGTTTTTATAAGGCTTGATGATATCTTTCCTAACCTTAAATTGTACAAGACTATCTTATAAAAATAACAAAAATAGAAAAACTTTCCAATAGGTTCGAAGAGGCAGAAGTCCTGATCATAATTATTTTAAACGACTTGCAATAATTCATAGTGTCCAAAACGAGACAAAAAGTGTGTGTCAGAATTCTCCATCTTTGAGTTGGGATAAAATACTGGTGTATTCCTTTACAATGCGTGCGGGAGTATAATATTTACATATAAACGTAGTATATCTTGCGAATATCTCGTTTACTTCAAGTCATGGATAGTGCGGTAACGATAAATGGTTTTGCGAAGGAAAAATATTTTAAATTACCCTCTAGAGAAATATCTACGTAGCATACACTGGTACGGTTAGTGAGTTAGCGACAATCTCGTGTAAATACATTTCACTGACCAAACGGTAGTAATAATATTAAGTTAAGTCTCCCGAGATCCGATGTAGTTAATCATTCGGGACATTTTGTCCGCTCGATTAATACACTTATACTGAATAATTCAGAAATATGTGAACATTTGAAACAACTCTCGTAAAGGTAAAAGAATATGTTTAAATAATTTTACTATCGAAAATCTGCATTCTAATATAGTATAAGTTCAAAGCTAAAGAGTATCATGTCTGAAAATTAATACTTATAAGATGGTGTTACAAAGTAAAAATGGTGTACAAAGTTTGTACACATACATTCCTGAAATCGAAATTCTAACTTTCTAATATCCCCATAATACAAGAATTTTTTCTTGTACTAATTTTCCTATAACAAACCTAGTTTAACAATCAATTCCCGCAAATCTGTAGGGACTATAAATAAATTGGTTCAGGACCTTGTTAATGGTTAATATGTAAAAAAAAAAAAAAACTTAATAATAGGTGTTATAATCTTTGGTTGATTTCTCCCATCACGTATTCTAATGTTATAGCATTTGATGAAAATTTTCAAAACACGCTATTGTTACATTTAATATTCTTAATGGTGTATAATTTAGGCTCTGTTATCAATAAAAATAAATACGATTTTTTCTTCCACGAGAATTATTTAAAATCTTACTAAATTTCTCCGAAATACTCTATGTTTAAAATATACATACGTACGACATGCATATTTGCATCACCTTGCATAACGCATAAAGATTAAATGCTTCAAAAAACGACAATATAGATCGTATACATAACACTAATATGACCAAAATTATTTTTATTTTTATCATTTCAATTTCAACAACTGTTCTATTTTATGATATTTTTCGTGTTATAAATATAGTATCATACATTCGAGAAATCAAGAGGCTATCGTGGTACAACTGTTCATTATTTTTGTAAAAATCTCTTTATCGAAAACTTTTCCAAGTTTTGAAATAATTAATTACCGTGCGGACAACGGAAACACCCTCCCTATTTTTGCTCAGCACGAAATACATAAAATATTTCACCATACTTTTAAAACAATGAAAGTGGAGGCGAACAAGGTTTCACAGTCACAGTCTGAAAAAATGCATTATCTCAGAGAATACAAATGGTTATTTTTAACAACTTCATTTTTTCACGGTAAACTATCATCGCACAGGATTAATAAAAGATCTTGTCAGCAACAATAATAAACCCGATGATTTCGTTTGATGGATGATTGACTATTTTATTTGCCATGTTATTAAAATCTAGTGTTCAATAATTTTCTATAAGTCGGATATTATAATGAGTACACATTGCGTGTAATATTGTATAATACGAAATAAAATGTTATAGATAATAACTTTTAATAATATCTTTAATATGAATGCGTCATACATTCGAAACAGTAAATCATGACAATACAAAGAGTAATTTCTGAAAAATTCGATTTGAATATTCATAGAATACCATCTAGTACGTTTTATGACCAAAGTTTTTATTCTTTTTTTTTTTAAGTAACGTAACTAACCACGTGCACGTATCGCGCAGTAGTTACATGTGTTGTAGGCACGGTTCTGGGTGGTGTGGGTACGCGTTATCCCATCATGCGTTTATATTTATACATTATCTTATATATTTATATTTAAATAAAATACCGAGCGAAAACAATCCATACGGAAGGGAAGGTACATTGGAGTTTTAACTAGTTATCGATAGAGGAGTACAAACGCGATTATACCACCTGCTCCGTACGCGGGTAACGTCCGCGAGCGGTAACATTGTTTATACACTTACAATGGTTATTCGCGGCTGTACTGCACAGGTGTGTAAACATTGGAGACAAAGCAAAATTTAGGTTGGGTCGAGTTAGGTCAACAGATCCGAACGGACTACCGAGTTTTTCCGTTTTCTCTGCGCACGTAATGTAGTACGGGAATACGTGCGGTCGTCCGACCCGTATACATTATGCATACGTGCACACGTCCCTTGGCCCCGGTCCTTTTCTTTCGGGGACCATCACCGAGTGACCGCATTGCGTAACGTTACAGGCCGTCGTCCGTTGAAGCGCTCACCGTCTAGAAAACGGGGCCGAAATAACCAAGAATCCGGTAATCGGTAATGTGCTCGACAACGAATTATTAATAAAATAAAAAAATAAAAAATAAAAAAATATTATGATAAATGTAGAATTTCGGGCGGCGTTGGCGGCGCTAATCGAATCGGTTTCAAAACATTATTATCGTTCAATTAATCGTGAATCATAGCACGCGCATAGAACGTCTGAAAGGCAGTATGCAAACGATCCGTGATACGGCAGATATTCGATTTGCGAGCATTCTAACGGAAAATTATCAAACACGATTGAAAGAACGACGAAGTGACGAAAGATGTCGATGTGTAAGAATATTCCACCGTTATAGGTCGTTATATCGACCTATGTTGTGTGTATGTGTACCCGTAAACCATAAAATGTCGTAATATATTAACTGTATTTTCCACATCGCAGGAAAAAAAAAATAACAACTAAAAGCTATGCGATAACCCCGACAGGTATAAAGAATATTAGGCTCATAGATTAACGAGAACGGATTCATTTAAGAGCGAAGACCAAACGATTTCATCAGCGCAAATGATACCGCCATCGCTCTTGTTTTACAATCAACCGTGATGAGAGGGTAGGCACTCTCGCAGTACGGGTCCCAGTGTTCGTTACGTTTACGACCGTTGCACGGGAAATATGGAAATATCCATACACTTCGTGTCTGATTTGTATAAATATTTTGTTAGCTATTTAAATGAACGGTTTGATTTTTTTTTTTTTTCATCGCCGTTTGGGGCTACGGAAATATAAGGACGGACAGCGGAGCGTTGCTCCAATATAAATGTACAACTATGCACATTTATTGTACCAACCTGGTGGACTTGATGATGATTTCTGGGTGAATATGCAAATTACCGCGACGCCATATTTTCAGCGTTAACGAGGTCTACCGCTTTATTACCATGCTTTTATAATATAATACTTTTTGACTGCTAGCTAAACCGCTGTGTTGTAACATACCGTTATCGGCGGTAAACAAACATGTGTGCATAGTTGATACGCACGTAAAGTTCTTTGTGTATGGTTAGGATGATGAGATCGAATAGTTTACGGCCCGATTCGTGTGATTAATATATTCATAAAAATACATTCCCCGAATTGTATTATAAATATGACGTTGATGATTGCGATTTACGGTCAGAACGAAAACGGAAAATTTTACACTTGACGATTTATTGGGAGGAGGAAAAAAATCAGTTTTATTCCGTGCTCTCACCTTTTCTGCGTTCGTTGATGACGTCTGAGATGTGTGCATAAGCCTCGCCTCTAAACTACCGCCTAAGACGACGTACCAGCTAGATCCAATTTCGCCTTGTCTGTACACTGAAAAAAAATTTAAAAAAATAGAATTAAGTAAATTTATATAATATATGCAAATGAGATCATACATATTGTATTCGGCGATAAGTACAGGAAATAATTCCCAAGTAAAATGGAAATAAAATCAGGAATAATTTACCAAATATACCAGAAAAAAGCCAAAAATAATGATCATATTATATTTAATATGATAATTTTTTTTTTTTTTTATATATATATATAATATAATTGTTTTATTTCAATCAAATATCAAAATCATGAACTGATAGATACTTTAAAAATTGTTTAGTGTATATATGTGTATATAGGTGTTTATGTATAACTAAATATGATTATATGATAATCGTCAATATAAAAATAGATAACGTACTCGTATTATACTATAAAATGTAAAAGCTTTTAAGATAGTATTACTATAGTAAACATATATATTTTATACATATATATAGGTATATTATAAATCAGCTATAAATGTAGTTGCCTACCGTAGTTGTATTGTCAATATTTAATGTTTCCTTAGATTTCAATTTCGTAACATCTTATCTATATGCACAAAAGCATATTGGAGTTTTGGGATATGCAGCATCCAGATATAAAGTAGATGTTTGCTTTGATTTTTATTTTCAATTATAAAACGAGTACTACAATAAGGCCAAGAATAGTCATAGATATTTTTTAGTAACATTAAGTTACAGCTAGAAATATTTTAAGTGATTAATCTATCCTACTAAGTTGTTCTAAGAATATAGTTCAAACAATAAAACAAAAGAAAATATTTATATAAATTCAATACATATAGCATACATAATCTTCAGTCATAAAAGTATAAAAAAAATAAAAATAAGGTACACCAGTAGGAAATATTATTTTTTTTCAGACAGAAGACATTTCAAAAATGTAATGTATAATTTTACGCGGTAAAATTCTCAATCGATTGACACATATCGCATGAAATATTTTGACAACGTTTGCAATATAATAAAAGGTATATTCATTGAGAAATAAAACATTAACATAGAATTTATAGATTAGAACTCGTACACTACGCACTAAATGAATTATACGTAGGCAATAATAGTAATGATGAATTTTGAGACGGTTAATTTAATTAAATAATGTTATGTTCGTTTTTGTTTTTATCAAAACAAAATCTTCAGTACACTTCGAAAGAAAACTAATCAAACTTTGTGTTATTAATCTCAGACTCGAAATAAATTTGAAAAAAGTCATTAATCATAGACGTTTTACGGAGATTCTAGCCGTACTATTTAACACGTGTTCTCTTCGCTACTTTACTATTATGTTTCTTTGCTAGTTATAATCTTTAGATTATAGATTATAAGATTATTAGATTATATATTAGATTATAGATTAGATAATATTATAAATAATAAAATACCAAAGTTGCGATTTAATTTTTTATTAGGTCGTAGATTACAAATATAATAATACTTCAGACCAAGTTTTTATTTATTTATTTATTTATTTATTTATATACTTATAATATTATGAAATTATACTGTATACACAATATTGTCATTCTATGAAATTGAAATTATCGGTTACGCAATATTAGTACTATAAGGCAGCAAAATATCAAAACAATAGACAATGAGCAACTAGCATTGGTGATAATCAATAATATTACCATTGAATTATTCTCATATAAATAAATTAATATTCTCACACCGAAGCAACACGATATTGTATGATACAAACTTGTAGCATAGTGCATTGGCAGACATACGATCGACGTATTATCGGTCAATATTTATTGATAGTGTTGAGCAATAGGAATAATAACGCAGTACAATTTTGTATGTAATTTTTGAATTTTAAGTGTAACCTTATTTTCAATTTTTCTATTTAATTAAATTAAATTTGAAAACGTGTGATGGATCTGCTTTAGACATAAAAATTTTAAAATACGTTGAAAAATATCCATGTATTTATGATTTCTAATTGAATGTTAGGAGGGAATACATATTGTTTATTGAATATTGTTAGTTGAGAGTAGCTCATTACTACTTGCTTTGGTGTGAGAAACGACAAATATAATACAATACGTTTGATGGCTGTTTAGTAATGCTTACAATTTTCAAATATTATATACGCTAATTAAGTGTATCGTGTAATATTATACGCAATAATTAAAACATTATAGTTATATGGTATATGAACTGTTCAAGGCATGCTATTAAATGATGCAGATAATAATGGTAAAAACAATATATCATTGTAACATTACAGCATCATCACAATATGTTTCAGATGTGTAGAAATGATGCGTAACTTGATACATATAAATGTATTCGTGATGCGTTGATAGAATTTCTATTTGTTGTTATAGAAATCCATCAAGTAACACGAATTCGGATTTTTCAATTTATTATAGATAATTAAATAAATCAATCACATGGAATTCAATGTAATTTGTAATTTGGATTTCTATTTGAATTAAACGATGTATACGTTCAATTATTATTATTCAATTGCATCTTTAAAACGGAATAAACACCCAAGAATTTCAATAGAATAATAAATAACACTTTGCAAATGTCTGGCTTAAAATTATATTACGCGTACTTCAATGTACTTTTTAACTGAAGTTTTTAATAATTGGATTTCGAAAAGGAGAATACTAATAAAGGCAACTGCGATTTCAATAGCTTAATTTTTTTGCAAAATAATAATTAAATTTAAAACAACTTTAAATAATAGTTTTTTTCGAAATTTTAAATAATACTAATAATAAACATTTATTTTAAATTAACGTATTAATAATAACTTTCTCTATTAAAACTTCTACTGGTAAATATATATATATTTTTTTTTTAAATTCATAACTCAACATCACTAATTTGCATTTTCTCAGAAAATTATCCTCGAATGAAATTATTGAGAATGTTTTCAACTATCAAGTCGAAAAATCATGCCTATGACAAAAAATAACCTTATCATTCTTATACTCACAATCATGAAATAGACCGTTGCAGATTGATGCCTAATAAATATACGACAATAAAGCTATTTAAACAAATCTAAAGCTATATTATAAATTAGAAATTAATCAGAACCAGTAACATAAATATTATTTTACAAACATGCGATAAAAAAAAAAACACGTATATTGATCATTATTCACAATGGTACATATTATTGATATATTAAAAAGCAGTCCAGTAGATTGTAGAGGTTAGCCATTCACATTCAAATAATATTCATATATTTACATAAATAATTACATATGTTAAATTATTAATATTATGTATTAAATTATGTATGTTAAATTATTTTAAATTTTAAATATTAATAATATTAAATATATTTTAAAATCAATACTACATAATTACTTTCTATACGTATTAGAAACTTGTTATTTCAAAAAATATCATGTGAGTTTCTAATACGTGTTAAAAAATAACTAATATTGATATGATATAAATAACACAAATAGAGAGAACAATGGTGCAGACGACATTTACCACGAAATTATACAGTTGACAGACATCATTATTTTAGTAAAAATGTCTCAGTGCCGCTACACTAAAACTGAAAACAAAGGAATATAGGATAATTTGTGGCATCCAAAACATGATCTTTAAGACATCACATACAGCATGACCAATATAAATTGAAAACACGGAATAATGAATATTTATGCTTAATGATAACAGCGCGATAACACAGCTGGTTTATCACACATGGAGGTAAGCCAACACGCCAACCACAACCACAGCCATGTAATGCACCGCTATGCATCACACGTAAATTAAAATACAAAACAGATAACACAGACAAACACATCAAACTAGAAACTAAATAAATGGTTAAAAAAAAAAGTCTTAAATGTTGAAGCATGAAATAACTAATTGTATTTACAAAGATTAACGATTATTTTTTTTAATCTCTTAAATGGGGTCTTCGTAAAAAAAAAATAAAATTGTGATGAATTATAAGATAGAAGTCTGCCACGATTATTTATTAAACTCAAGGAGAACTCGAATCATTTGGGTTTTTTTTTTAATGGTTTAAATTATTTATGTTTCAGAACTTAATTGCATCACTTAAAAAATAAATTGTTTGAAATATGTGATTTTTATAAATATGTATCGAAAAATTAGTTTCTCGATGTATCATCAATGTTAAAAACAGTTTTAAAATAAAAATAACAACATTGACTTTCACACACAAAGATACGCCAGCATATTTTTCAAATTAAAAGCGTTTACGAGGATATAATCAATATAAGTTGCTGACATTACTTGCATTAAACTTGATACAAACAGGTAAATAACGAAAGAAAACTATTGACAGTTGTCGTCATTATAGTAAAACGTGTTACTGAAAACTTGTTTTTATCATGTTGAAAACAAACGATTACAGCAACACCTTGTAACTGTGTCTCCATGATTGCTAACAGTTTTAACATTATCACAGTATAACTATTGCAAAATCAACGGTATCAATAGTTAAGTATGTGAAGTAATGCTCTGCGTGCTCCGGTCTTAATCAGTCCGGTCCAAATTAGTCTAGTACGGTCCTAACATACAAAAACTTTTGAATCGTCGGTTTGGTCCGGTTCAACAATTTTTAGAAGTAGTTCGGTCCAGTCTTCAGATCAAATACATTATTATCAGTCCGTTTCGGTTTCAAAAAATAAAATAAAAATCAGTCCGGTCTGGTCTCAGTCCAGTCCCAATCTTGGTACTTAAAATCTAATTATAGATATTGTTATGTACACAAATAAAACGAAAAAAAACCTACAACTTTAGGTATATATTTAATTATAAAGTCGGATGTTCCAGTCCAGTGTAATACTAAACACATCATATAATATGGTCTGGGCTACTACAGACTGAACCTTACGGACCGGTCCATAAACGGTCCAAAATGTTTTAAGATCGGACCAACAGTTCGGTCTACGGTCTACTTTATTTAAATGTTATTTAATTACTGATCCGGTGCAGTCTAAAAATTATTTGAAGTCGTCGGATCGGTCA